TAATATTTTCGAGTATGATGCCAGATCGCAGTCAAAACAGGTGGCAATCTTGATGGGTTGTGCTCGTCTTTTCATCGTTATTGAATTGACCTAAAAAGGCATGGGGTGAAGCGGCAATTTGGTTCTTTTGACCTGGATAGCTAAAGTTATCTTAATCTATGCGGGTCGATTATTGAATCGTTACCGAAAGACCTTGATCGATAAAAAGCATTGCCGAGATAGGGATTTATCGATCGAGTTCTTTCGATAACGATTCAACAATCGACCCGCAGGATGCTATACAGAAGATAATTTACAGAGTGAGAAATCGGGGAGGCAATAATTTGACATATCAGAATTGGTCAATTACGCTTCCGGCTGAATTACACACTGAGTTAAGTATTTCGAGACTTTGGTCAAGACTATCGATTTGGACGACATCCAACTATATGAAAAGGCAAGTAGGACCTATCCAGTTCTTTTGAAAATAAAAATGCTCAAATGCCAAATGGTCGTGCGTTAGCTACAGAGAGTGTTTCAAAAGTGTATTTTAATGTGCACTTTTTTGGTCAGAGCATCCGTATAACTCTTTTCGAAGTGTTTGTTCTGCAGTTCTTTACTTCTCATTGAACTATAGTTTTAAGTGATAAAGCAGTGCTTTGAACGCCTTCAAATCTGGCGATACTTCTCGCTTTTCCGAGAGGTTAGTTTAGTTGCGTGACCCAACCGAACGCTTTGAACGCCTTCAAATCTGGCGATACTTCTCGCTTCTCCGGGAGGTTAGTTTAGTTGCGTGACCCAACCGAACGCTTTGAAAGCAGTGTCCTCGGATGATTAAAGGTACGCGGTCTATTGGAGACGATGGCGGTAATTCAAATTGCTTAACTATTCGTTGCATACAGGAGTATCTATTCTTTAATTTCCTTTGGACCTGAGGTCCCATTTCCATTAAAAAAGGGGGAAAAACAGGAAAGAGTCGGAATAAAATTTTTCAAAAATTTTCGATGGCACGCTCCATTTAGTGAATAAAATGAAAATATTCTTTGATACAACCACACGGCAAACTAGAGATTTTTCTCCTAGGACTGAAAAAAAAAGTTCGGTCGTACATACCTAAGATCGGCGCTCGATTTCATCGTAAATAATTCGGTTTGCCAAACTGGATTTTTGGTTTATAAAACCGAACTTTCGGTTCGTGAAACCAAACTTGTGCGGTAAAGTGGAGAGATGGACTAAGTTTGCAATATATGTCGAACGTTCGGTTACACGAACCGAAAGTTCAGTTTGATAAACCGAGTATTTTGGACGATGTGGAACACCGAACGTTCGGTTCACATGACCGAATTTTTTCTTTCAGTATAGGGTCAAAATAGATTATATTTCGAATGAAACTTTTTGGACAATTTCTACCTGTTTGATAGCAAGAAGTAATCAATGATGCACTTTGTAACACCTTACATAGCACTGTGATAAATAATAATACCTTTAATGAACTTAAAACAATAAACGGAAAGATGATTTTAACGTTCGACAAGGAAAATTGGAATAAGCAGCGATGGCAACATCGCTCAATAATTAATCCAGCTGATTCCACTATCCCAGCATCCGAGCATCTCAGCTTCCCAACGCCCGGTTTCCGACTTCCATTTCTCTCCCATATTGCCGAACCAGGCGGAAAATAACCCAATTTTAGGGAAATTGAAATGCTGGATGGACAAATTTTAAATTAAGGCGGCAATCATGTTCCTTGTTCACCTCTGGTAATCACTCAGCGACTCGGCATTCCCTCACCTCGATGCCTCTCTCCACGAAGAGGACATGGCTTAGTTCAGAGGAAGATGGAGGCCATCTCAGTAATGACCAGTGAAGGATGTACACAATTTTTCCTCCGGCAAAAGAGGGGATTTTAGGGCTGGATAAACATGGAAGGTTACGAGTGGGCACTTTTTATTTGTTGGGCGAGCTTTCCGCAAGGTTAGTTAAAATTAAATAAAATAGGACGGATGTCCCTTGAGTTCTCGTTATAGTGATGGATTACTTTAATGATCTCTAATAAATGTTTCATGACACTAAGCAACGTCTATTTTGATTCGTGACAAAAAACGTACAGTATAAGTGGCAAAAAACAAACACAATTTATAACAGCATCCTCAAAAATGATGTAAAAATCATAGACTTATGTACATCGATTTTTAATTAATAGCTAGACACGCAAATTACTCCCCAAGAAATCATGAAGGGTACATAGATATTAGTTGCATATTTTACTTATCAAGAAAATTAACCTTGCTTTACACGAGGACTAAGATGCACTCAGGTTGGCATTGGCTAAAATTGTAGGATATTCTTCGGCGAAACCATGTGCTGCCAGTCCAGCGACCCGTTTTCCAGAGTCCAGAGAAATACTCTTGTTCATTACCAATACGACCACAGCAACGACAACCATTATCGCCACCACACATAAAATTGCTGGCATGACACTCTGCGCGAACTTGAAAATACACATGTTGAATGCAGCGTTATTTGTGAAGCAAGCGCAAGTAAAATTCAGTTGCTCGCAGCAATTTGGATTTAAAGTTAAATTTCCAAGCTTCGTGCGTCAATGACTTATGCCATTTTGATCTTCAAGATATGCAACTCATTAGAGCACCGCTCGTAAACAGAAAGTTGGGGTTATTTTCCCGCACCGCGACACATGATTCTTTCGATAGTATCCAAGAATTAGATTCGGTTCTGTCCGAGTCAAAAAATTACAATCTCTTTTCTTGCAAAGTTTTACACGCAGTCCATGCAAATATTTAAAGGAATTTAGCTAGTTTATCTGAGAAACGTTCGATTGAGGTTCTTAGTTCACGGACTTTTTCAGGTTAGGAGAGTTTCCATGGCACCACGCATGTTGCTTCATCGAGCAGACAACAAGAAAATTCCTGGGGCTAACGCTTCATTTGATCTGATCTATTTATCCCATGCTGATAGATACCCACAGCCACTATACGCTACATTGCTGTCTAACGATTCTTAAAATTGCCTGATTTGCTATTTTTCCAATTTTTAGCATCGCACTGCTTATGCTTGAGACTGATAAACTAAGGGGCCGTCCATAAAATACGTCACTTAGTTTTCCAATTTTTCCACCTACTCCCACCCCACCTCACCCTATCCATCTGCCATCCACTGCTAGTCCCCCCTTAAAAATTAACGTTCCCTTCCCCCTAAAAAAAAGAAAAACGCGGGGGAAACGCAGAAAATCGATAAAAATCAGTAGTTACAGTCAAATTTCGAGCAAACATTTTCAGCATTTTTGTCTTTAGGAGAGCTTACGTCACCCTTGGCTTGTCCCCCCCCCTTCCCACCGTCCCCCTACTAGAGTGACGTAATTTATGGACGGCCCCTAACCTAAGAGGGGCACCGACATGGCGATACTCTCCCCCGTGCATCAAGACGATTAAATTTTAAAATACTGGGTCCCGATTGGCAACCTGGAGAGCCCGTTGGAACTCCAATATCATTACATCAAACTTGGCCGATTAACGCACGTTGAAAGGTGAGTCCGTGTGGCGAGATGCGAGCGGTGAGTGGCCGATGATTGATACTTCTCTTTTCAATTAGATCGGTATCAGTTACGCTTCATGATTCCACGGCTACCCATGGGAAGCGCCACTATAGCGCCCACGCGCCGCTTCAACATCGGCGTCCCCTGCTCGCATGTAACTTGTATGTACACATTTAGTAGGCTAATTCATCCATCACAGCCAATTATGCCCACAATAATCCCCTTTGTAAATTACAGCGAGCCTCCAATAGGTTTTGACTGGGTTTATTTTTATTATTTGGTTTCCAAGAGACAAAGTGGGGGATTCTCTCGATAATATGACAGTTTAAAATCCGTATAACTCGCATCCATTTGGCACTACTGTAAACTCTATTCGAGGGGCTTGAAGGACAAGGCGCATAAGTGCAGTTTTTGCTATTTCGAGAAATATGCGTTTGAAGTTGCGAAATTACATGGATTTTTATGGCGGAAAGAAAGTTCAAACTGACTTTTTAATGCTTGAAGATTAGAATTTGGGGGCAAAGTTTTCACAGAAGATGCTTGTAAGACTAGTTTTACTTGAAATCATTAATATCTCAATTTCTTCGAAAACTGCACTTATGCGACTTGTTCTCCGAGCCCCTCAATTAGATTTTAGTTCAAATCGAGATATTATTCTTTACTTTACACGCACGACTAGAAAAAAAGTAAAATAAAATAAAATAAGATAAAACCGAGGATTTCGTCTTGATGGTTGTTTAGGAAGATAAACTATCATATGAACTGCGTTTAGCAGAAAGGAACCAAGCCACATCAGCTATTGCCAAATTCAACTGGGCGATTTAATTTTTTTACGAGAGAAAGTTTGTAAGGATCCCATTGAAAATTTTAAGAAATTTACTTCGTACTATATGCAAACAATTCACCAAAATTCGCACACAAATCCGCACCACCGTAATGAACGACTGCATGAGATAACTGTTCGTGCTTTCCGGTAGGTTTGCGGCCTATACGGCAAAATAAAGGCGAACAGATTCGCAATATTGTACATCGGTTTATTAACGCCAATGGAGCTATTGCTTATTGGTTCATTAAAGCTAATGGAGCTATTGTTCATTAGTTTATTAAAGCTAATGGAACGATAAAGTTAGGTGTTTTTCGAATAGGAACTTTATAACCTCCCCAGGAAATTGGTTGCCTATTCGATATTATGAAGAAGGTCGGGTGAACAATATCTGCCCATAGGTTTACCCACAGGCTATTGATTCTATCAAAGTTCATGAAGCGACATTAATGAGCGTCTTTCAAATAGATAACTATTAAAGCTTCCCGGTAAGTTTGTTGCCTACTTAGAGGAATTGAAGGAACTCTTCGAAAGGACAGTATCTACGTCCATAGCAACATCAACAAGCGATCTGCAGGATATTTAGCTAACTGACGATGAGATATGGAAGGAAGGGGGCAGGGATCGTATATTAATTGATCTTACCTGTTAATCGTTTTCTCCCTTCATCAATGTGAGTCTGATCCACCTGTGAACAAAAGAAGATTCCGTTATTATTTTTTCAAAAGTACAATTCTTTCGTGTCTTACATTAAAATATGTTTGGGCAGGTAAAACCTTAATCCATTATCAAATTCCGGAAACAATTCTCATCCAAGCGTCGGGAGTCATCAGCCCTAAAATTGTTACTTCACATTATTTTCAAATGAAAACTTGGCAGAAATTTTCCTTGCGACTGATGAATGCAAGCACTTCTTTTTGATCGTGATTGGACAAATTTTGATAAAAGAAGAAGGTTCTATAGTGACCATCAGTGTGCAGATGGTCTACTTTGATCGGCATTGGTTCGGAATTTGATCGTGCATCGAGGATTTTACACTTAAAAAATAAGATAATTTCCGTTTTAAAGCATTATAATGCATATTTTTGACATTTTTCAAATAATCTCCGGTAAATACTTGTCCTTGCTTTGGAGTGTTGTAATACGATTAAAAACCTTAGTAAGCATATGTTCATATTTCTTACCGGAGAAATGCCTAAATTTCACAGTATTACAGCTAAAAATAATGAGGACAAATGATTTGAAAAAATAATAACAAAGCAACTGTTTAAGCCTACATTATTTTTATTTTATATTTTTTAAGGTTTAATGGCTTATACACCTTCGTAGAGGTCTACAGCTAACTATTGGCAGAAACCCTACTTTAAGTAGAAGTATGATCTGTTTTTTAAGATCTGTGGTAAGGACAAATTCAATATTTATGACTTTAAAAGTTTAAAGTTATAGAGCTGACCTAGAATCTTAATAAAAATACGACGGTGGAAAATTGAGCGGCCCAGGTATGAGATATTGTTTTGATTGAGATTTGGCGGCGACGGGCGCCTGAGCGGTAATTAGCCGCATCGAGCTGGTTTCATTGGCGAGCCGACAATCATTACAGCACATTAAAGCCGGGAATGCAAGAGGACTGTGGAACCCGTCTTGCCGGTGGTGTAGTTGGTGCACTCATACCCCTCATGCCTATGAATGTCGGTGGTCTGCTCTGAACTTCCCTGCTCGGTGCCTAGTGCCCAGTCCTAACCGGCGGCGCGGCGTGGCACTTCACGCCTCCGTCACAACTTCGTGCCAACAGGTGCCTGATCATCAGTTCTCCGAACCGAGAAACGGTGACTGAACGTATTGGTTCGTATTATAGCATTTCCCTGGTAAAGTCGATCAGTATGATATCATGTTGAAACTGTATGATATCATGCTGGTTCAATACACTGGAAAAAAAAAAAAGAAAAAAAAACACACATTGGATCTAGAGTTCAGACTCTTAAGAACATCGACAAGAAAAAATACTCTTGACTCTATCAGATTTAGGCTTAAATCAAGAACCAAGCCTCTTAATTTGAGCGGATTTCCTTTTGATTTAAGCTTAAATCTGACTGAATCAAGAGTCCTTTTTCTTGTCTATGTTTTCACGAGACTAGACTCTAGACCCAATGTGTTTTTTCCCCCAGTGTATGATATCAGCATGACAGTAGGACAGTAGGTAGTAGAGATCAGTATATCGTAAACTTCCGGCCGAAGTATCACAAGCACCATGCAACGTTTCAAAATTTCCGCCGCCGTTTTGTTTTTTTATTATTGTTCGACGAAGCTGTCCGAAAATTTCATCGAATTTTCTTCGTGCTACCGATAAAATTGTGTGACATCCAGGTGACGATATTATCAGTGCAATACTAGTCCCTAGTAAAAATTTGCAGTAGAATCTGTGTTCCAAAATACCATATACCTACGGCCGGCTGTAAGATTTCCAATAGCTTCTATAGCCGGCTATACAATTTCTTATAGCCTTTTATAGCCGATGGCGATTAAGCAGTGTATTTAAGTGTATGCTAAACGTCACTCATTACGGATGCTAGGACTTGGTGAGTTTTTGGACCACTCCTCTCTTTTTGGGCCGTAGTATCTTGATTTATTTTGCGAGAAAAGCTCCGTACTTTTGATGGATGCCTGCCATTCCTAATATATTAGAGCGCCTTCAGTTTCGTATGATACTGTGCAATACCTCAGGTGTGAAATAGTTGCTTCAAGCGCCGTGGCACGCTGCGGTGAGGCAGGCGGGCAGCCAGCTCGAAACGCGCATTGGCGCCTACAAACCTAACATGGATACTTCACGCGTTGCGCAATGCGTGAAGTATCCCTGTTAGGTTTGTAGGCGCCAGTGCGTCGCCGCTCCGCTTTGTGTTAGGCTCTAATATTTAATCTGGCGGAGTCAGCGTTATTCGACTCATGATTTTGAAATGTTTGCACATCCCGTATGGATTATTCTCGTTTTAATTGATGAAAAAAAAATATGTATTAAAGGAAAATATAACGTGCGTTTTGTAAATATACAGTGGTTCCGCATCAAACTTAATGATTTCCAAAGCACACGAATTTCTACACAATCTCTCACGGCTATAGGAACTATAGCCCGGCTGCATAATTTTTATCGCTTCGTATAGTCCGGCCGTATGATTTTCTCAGCATTCTACAGCCAGCTGTATGATTTTCTGTTGCCTTCTTTAGCCGGCTATAAGAATTCCTATGGTATTTTGAAACGCAGCCCTTATCGCCAATTTTTACCAGGGGTGACATATACCGATATCACTTGGGAGGATGGGCCAATTTATTCACAATTCCATATCATGCTAATTGACTTTACCAACAGTTGCTCTTCCTGGAGAGCAGGAATTGCTTCTCGCTTTTGAGTGATCGTTCACGGCACGGTGATTGATTTTGATTAGATGTGTTCCGACTTTTGTAGGAAAATGTCACTGAGTTTCGAAGACCATAAGCTTGATAATTTTATGTACCATGTTGGTGTTCGCCGTGTTTTATTCATCATCATGGGTTCATCGATGGATGATGCATACAGTTTAGATTCATTGCTCTGCGTGCATCACTCATTGGACCAAAATGGTGTGAATCGGTATGAATATACCAATGAACACGCGCATTATCATGGTGCCTCGCTGATCACGTGAGAGAATACCATGGTTTCTTGGAGTTTCATATGACCACCTCATTCGTCATTGTTTTATGTGGTTTAAAAGCAGAACCGTTAAAATTGAGCGAATTTTTCCCCCTAAATAACAGGAAAAATTGGATAATTGCCTGCCTCTGCATCGACTGACAACAATGTCGCGTTCTGGTCATTGTTTACGCTTGAATCGTGGATGCCGCGCAGATGATCGTGCATGGTGCGCGTGATGTGTCAATCAGTATCTGATCCGAATGAATGGATTTTGTGAATGAATGGTTGAATGAGCGATTAGTCACTTGTTTGTTCCACATCCACAGACCCAATAAGAATTGTTATGATTCAACATAGCCATCTCAGGTGTTGCGGAGAGTGCAGTGTCAGTGCCTTGCACCTTGCCGACTCACTCTGGATCCGCGACTGCACTAGAGTGCATTAGTTGGACTGCATTTTGCAATTTGGAACTAAATTCTGGCCCATCTGAAAAAACACTTATATGCATAGGGAAAATAATGGCGCATACGTTGTTTTTAAACCGGAACATAATTCATAGTTCCTACTTGCAAAATGTAGTCCAGTTGAAGGATAAGTCTTTTTTTCATTCCTGGACTTTAGGGCATATGTGTGTCGTCCATGTTACTGCGGTATGGAAACTACCTTGAGATTTTCCTCATTTTGTCTCTTTCTTGTTAATCCACATGATTGGTTTTAGTCTGAGCGGCTTGTATCAGGGATTTACTTGCCCAAATACTCGCCCTAATGCATGAAAATCTTTTGGACTTAACTTTTGCGATTGATTAAAGATATCCTACGACAATGTGACGGCATGAGTTGTATTTTAACCACGCATGGTGTGCGCGGCGTAAGCATGGCAACGTAAGCATTGTGAAGTGTGGGAGAATTCGCTTTGACGCATGTATTATCCCAATTTGAGTAACTAATTTGCGACCTGTTACTGCGGTCATAAAATTTTAATTACCCATTACTTTCACTCTCCAAACGAACGATTTCGTTTCATCGACCAATGAGCAAGGTAATTTGTTCAACTTTGAAAATTGTACGGAATACTAATGATTTAGGCAGGACGAGCTTTACAAAGAACGCCGTTTATTAAATTGATATGATGCGTTTTATCAAAGTCAACTGTTAAACATGATAACCACACATTTCACGCTGATTTGTAGGACTGCTTCATGATTACGGAAGAATAATTTTCAATATAAATGAAGGTGCATATGAAGAAAGAACCATATCGGAATTTGAGAGCAGACTCCAAAATGACCATTGTCCGCACAGCACGGTGTCTACTGAAACAGGCTGGTCAAAAATAAGTACTTTTACAGTAATTTTTCAGTACATTATTCTCAAGAAATTCAGTACCTCCTCCAACAGAAAAATTCCGTACTTTTTCAGTACCTTCATTTGATGAAATTCGAAAAATTTCAGAGAATTGAAATTGCGACAAAAAGACAAAAAATAAAAAAAATTCCGGACCTTTTTGCGGAATTTCCGCACTTTGTCCGTACTCCCAGACCGCCCTTAAGAAATCATCACTATTTCCGGACTTGTAGACACCCCGCCGCACGGAAATAAAAGAGCATAGTTGATTTACAGATGTTTCTCAAATTTTGGTGCGGCGTTTTCCTCAGCTTGGCAAAATGGCACCTCAAAGTCCAAGCACAAAGGCTTGCTTCCTTTAAAGTCGGACCAGGTAGTCGGCAGAACCTGCGTCGAGCTTATACTGGGCGCCAACGCCGATCTACTGGTTACCTAACAACTGAAGCGAGCTGGACAATGCATCGGAGACTGATGTAATCTCAAAGCGACATCATCGCTGCAGCATCACACGGATGGCAATGGACCCAAACCCGCCTCCCGGGCAGATCTATAAAACTTAAAACATCCGCGACATGAATGCTCGACGATTTCGGTGCGGGACGACTGCGACTTCTTTCGAAAGTTCAACCTGTCTTCGCTTCATTTTAGGCCCGGCGGAATAAGCTGCACCACATCTC